TAAATGTTTTTTGTCTGATACAAAATTTAAAATTAAATAAGAACAGAGAAACGCGTTTTGATTATTTTTTGAAGTTCGAGTCCTATATTTTGTATTTATACGGACAAAATGTAACGTGGAAATATTATTACTGCTTTTTGTCGAATTATTGGTTTAGGTCGTTATCAGGTAGCTTCTGAAACGAACTTATCCTATCGTACATACACGTTCTGCGTGTCAGTAATTACGAGCAATGATAATGCCGTCACACGTTGAAAATGAAGGTGAATATTCCATTCGTACAGGTGAACACGGCTCGCGCTCGTTCTACCGCGTTCTCTTTTCTTATTTCTGCAAGAACTACTTGTCGCGCTGTATTAGAAAATTTGCCGCTTCGCATCGTCGGTCCTGGCGTAAGTATAAAAATTGTATTCAGCTTATACAATTACGTAACTGTTCTTGATAAAGTGCCCAGTCCTAAAATGTTATCAGGAAACGATGCTACCTTATAACAGAGGATCCAGTACACATATCGTCGTTCCAAAGCCATCGATTTCAATTATCAATCTGATCCATCGATCCCAACGATCAACAAACTTTTCATTTGAAAGTTTGTTCGTTCGGCTCGAGTTATCAGAATGAGTAAACGTACTTCACCTTCTTCGGCTGTGAAACCAACCTCGTCACAATTAAGGTGTGAAATTTTGGGAGTACTTCTGGAGATGTTTGCGATACTCTGTTGCCCGCTGTTGCAATTCCCGATCGGTCGGCGTATACGCCGCGTAAGTTCGCAAACGCGCTTTCGCAAGTTCCAGATCCTACAATTTATTTTCAATTTAACATTGTCCTATAATTTCTTATTTACACAAAAAAATGAATCTCAAAAGAGATCTAACAAGTTTCATTTAATTCATATAATATATTTACTGTATGTTATTTTAATCGCAATGCTGTACCTTCAGAAATTTACGATTACGCGCCAACGATTTCTCCGAGTTTATACGAAAAATAGGCGTCAAGAAATTTCCTAAATATTTCTCATCGCTTCGTTCCTGTTCTTCCGAAGTATTGCGAGTGTAACTGTTATCAGACATTAGCATTGTCATTATTCATGAACCGTATTTGTAATTCACTACTTTGTTTAACTGTTGGCTGATTTATAACTTTTGAACAGTATCACGAACGATACGTGCACGCGCGTCTCTTTGGAACATCTTTTTCGTACACATATGGTGGTAAGTATCTGCGTGGTTTCTATAGAAATATCGTGACGCATAGCAACGTAATCGATATCGATGCCCGCATCAGTGAACTTCTGTCAACAGAATTCTAAAGGACAAGGAATTTGTATTTATTACACGATTATTAACTTAAATAAATTATATTTAGCAAATTAATATTTATAATCCGATGTATGAAACATTTTCACGATTGAGAATACGTGGAAAGCGTATCCGCGATATCTAATCCGTAATACATTTTGTTAAACGGGAACGCAGTTCCTTTCCCCTCGAGTATCTTCCCTCTAGCTTCCTCTAAATTTTGTGATGTTGGCTGTAATACAGAGTTTTCATTACAATATGTAATAAGTTGAATTTTTATACGTCTTTTGGTATATTACATTAAGCAACAAAGATCACGGTACTTACTAAAATGTATATGTGACTCGGTATCGATCGTTCGACTACCTCCGCAAGTCGTGCTTTACTCAGTTTATGTTCTTCATCTACATATAACGTAAAAATATAATTAGTATCCCCTGTCACGACTTCACCCGCCTGTTTTCCATTCGTACAATCATATTTTGCAAAATATAACTTTTTAAACAATTTATTTAAAACAAATGCTTTTATACGTAAATATCCCTACGCGTGAGATTTTTGCTAAGATACAAACAAATACTTTCTCTTTATATAATAGTAAGACAGATATTATTATAAAATAAAACAATAATAGATCAAATCATTACCAGGAGGAACTGCTAAAGACAATGTTGGAAGTTGCACAAAACCTGCCAGTAGTGGTAGTAGAATCCATTCGACTTTTTTCTCGTCTTTTGGAAGTACATAAATATCAATCTAAATAAGATAAATACCAGTGATACCAGTGGCCGTATTATGAATTAATATAAAATAAAATAAGATTTTTACCTGTTTCTGTCCAGCAAACATAAAGGCATCACTGGCTTCCATGGTCAGCCGCAATGTAACCATGAAATCGGAATGATTCTTTATGAAATATGATATAAGTAGCGGCATGCGAACCCAGCCGTGAGCTGGCATTTTAGCTTCTAAACCGATCACGGCATCTTCGACCCATAAAGGAGCCAAAGTGACGCTACTACTAGTTTCTAATCCATTCTCATCATTCGCACTGAAATAATAAATTTGAATATAAGAAACATCTGATTGCCTTATAAATGTAAATGATTCTTACCGTTTCCATTTAATTGTGTACACTCCCGTACTAACAGGCTGTTCGCCGCCTACTTTCGGTATCAAACAATATGCATCTGTACCAGTTTCATTTTCAGACAGCGTAACATCAGCTAAAATAGATGGTGATTGTTCGCCGTTTTCCCTTTCTATCGAATCCCCCTATATAATTATATAAATGACTTTATGATGTACAATAAAGTGGTCTAATGATTAATAAAAAGTCTTATTTACCAGTTCTATGGAAGTACTTATAATACTTATAGGGCATGGGGAAGTACAAGAAATGTGAGGCATTATCATAAATGGTTCACCGATGAAACCCTTGGTTAACGGCACGAAATGCGTGGTATAAAATAATGTTGATACTTCGAACGGCTTCGTGACTGACAATGAATAAGTTATTTCTTTGGATCCCTTAATTTGTTCGGACTTCGAGTATTCTATTTTTATCTGCACATTCCTATCACCAACTTTATGAGCTCTTACATATACAGTTTGATCAATACTTGAGTCCCTTTTTAAATCATCAAATGGTATCGAAATAACTGACTGCTTATTGCTCATCGTTAAACTCAATTCCGCTACGGACCAAACGAATTCACAATTAATAACTGAGAACATATACGCTTTTATTATAGTGATTTATCATACATACTTGATTGTTCATTTGCTCCATCGAGTATAAGTGATACGTTCAAAAGAGCTGAAAGAATGTCTTCGTTGGGAGTAATAGATATTTTAATTGGAAGCCATTCACCTAAGAGAGCTGGGTTATTGGAATCGGCACTTATTCTCAGACTAGATTCTTCTTGTTTGATTTCGGCACTGACTAGTGGTTGTATCATTTCGAATTCTCCTCTGCTATAACAAATATGAAATGTATGAGTTACATATATATATATATATATATATACATACTACTCAAAAAAATTATGACATCACGAAATTTGGGTAAAAAAAAATAAGTTTGTAATAGGATTACTCTGCAACAAATTATTATAGAGACTCTCTCTCAATTTAAAAGAAAAATCTTCGTCCTACGATAATTTGTTGCCGAGTAATCATCTTCCAAACTTAGGCAAATTTCGATACTTTCGAGATGCCTTAATTTTTTTTAGTAGTATAAATATATTCGTTCAGTTTGCGACCTACCGAAGTTGTTGCACTTCCGGATATAGTCGACTTAGAAAATTTGTTTCTCTTCCCACAGCAGAGAATCTTAAAATGATGCAACAGGATGTGTCACTACCCATGTACAACGAAATTGTGGTAATGCGTATTTCGCTGCTGTCATTTTGTTGCGGAGCTTTAAATTCATAAAAGAACTTTTTCATTTCTCTCCCTTGAAAAATAAGATCGCTATGTCCCGCGTCGGCGACGGTGAATTCTGAATTATATCCTGGACTATTAACTGTTATTGACACTTTTGAAAACTCAACACTACTACTATAGGAATTCCTATATAAAACATAAAATTTTGTTACAAATTACATTCGTACTCTCTTTCTCTTACAGACGCTTACGATGATTACCTAATAATTACTTCCACGCTAACTGTAGAATTAACAGCGTACTTTGATTGTAAAAATCTTGCTTTTACTTCTATAAATGAACTCATATTATTATCATCAATTGTGAAAACAATTGGTTCGGACTGGTTAAGTTCCATTACCCATTTCTCTATTGCTGGATATTTCATTTCATCGAGCAAGTCAGGTTCTGGGTTCGGCGGTTTTTTCTGTGATTTCATTAGATCGTTCGTTTAAATGATTACTAATTTAGAGTCTCATGGTACTCACATGAAGAATATTGACGATGTTAGTGTAGACAGCATTTTTATAATCTTCTGAGAACGTAGTGGAAGGCCCCAAGGCTTCGAACGCCAGCGTGATGTAGTCTTGAATACTTGTTGACAGGTAAGCCGCTCGTAGAGCATTTTTTAATATATTTGTGATTAAGACTGGCCACCGTTCACCATGATATTCCCATAACATATGCGTCAATAATCTGGTCAATCAAATTTTATGATTTTCGGGTTAAGTTATGAAATATGTCTAGGGGAAATAACGTTACAGTCAATTTTCTGACTAACGAATATTAAAAAACAATCTTTTAAATAATTTTGATGTGCTTTTATTGTACGATTGGATTTAAATTTCGACTCACGTTAATACTTTTCCGTAATCCTTGGCATTGTAATACTCCTCGGCCATTTGTACAACTGAAACATATTATCAGATATTATTAAACAATAAATTATATCATATTTAAAACATTCTTAATACTCCTTCTTAGTGGAGGATAGAAAGCGAAGACAAGAGGATACGTAGGGGCGAGATATAACACTCAATCTCATATAAATGTACAAAATATAAATATGTACAAAATCAAGTTCAGATAAAAAAAGTCTTGACTGTTCATAGGGATGCGTGCGTAGTGTAGAATTAAGGTAAACTAGGTATAATATAAGCTTAATGTAATAAAGTAGGATAAGAATGTAATCCGAAAGGTAATTTAATAAATCTACCTAATACTCTCCTCATTCTCGGACACCTATACAATTTAAATTGTGAAATTGCATTTCCCAACAGGCCGATGATTATATTCTGAAAATATATAGTAATATATCATTATACTTGCTCAATAGTTCTCAAATGGATATCAAGTTTACTCCTTACGGAATGATTAACCGTATATTTTTCTTTGTACTGCAAGGCCTGTATAGCAAGCGCTTCTTTTATAGGATCTGTAGGCTCCGCACTCAATTTTCCGGGGCGCCACGGTCTCTGCCCATAAAATTCAAGTTTCTCTTCTCCTGCCAATGGGTCTGTTTCTGGATAACTATCAATATTCTAAAATAAAATATACATATATAACACATATAAAATATGTAACAAAAACTACTTGTATGAAAATATATATCTATACCTGGCAAAGCTCTTTGCAAGCTGTTTGTCTCAAGCCTGCATGATGAGCTGCTGATTGGAAATAATATCCTGGATGCTGCGTTTGAACTGGCGGGAGTCCTTGTCGAATAGCATCGTCAAATAATTCTGCAAACGTAGAAAATTGACTGCACATCCACGCATGATGCTCGAACATAAGTTCCTTTTGTCCGGGCCACAGTTTGAATCTATACTGTCCATATAATCGATTATTTTACTGATAGACAAAAAGTTCTTTATTTCTTTTATTAAACCTACTCCTGACCTGTCCGTATGAAGCCTGAACTGTGATATAGCTTCTTTGGGAACATTTAACGTGAACATTATTTTACACAATTTATAATTTATAAAGGAAGCAACAGCTTTAACTTCCGTCACGTTCGTGTCTGTTATCTGTATTTCCAACAAGTTATTATACGCTGTGGTATAATGCCTGTAAAATAATTTTATATCTCACAATCATGCACGAGATTCATGTTTGTATTGTTCCACTTACTTTTGAGCTAAATTCTGATCCTGTTTCAGCTCATTTAAAAATGCCATTTTAAATTGATGACGTACAAGCAAATGTTTATGCGCTCCTTTTTGGACAGATTTATCAATTTGATCTTTATGTCCTTTAACGATACGGTATTCATGATGATAAAAGTTCTGCGCTAAATTAAATAATGCACTCTCCAGTCTGCAATATGTACGAGTATGCATGATTCAAACGCACCAAAAAGAGTAACGCTGTACAATATACCATTTTTTTACAGTACCCATTATGTGATTCTTACAGAATTTCTCATACCAATAGTGAATCCGCAAGCAAAAATGCTCCATCACGTACCGTTTCCGAACGACAGCGGTTTTTGTAAAAATGCATGATTGAGGAAAATAAAGTATTCGTTTTTGGAATGAAAATGTCTATAAGAATCACGTAATGGATATTGCAAACAAATGAAAGAATTTTTTCTGTTGGTTCGTGTAACTAGTCTATTAGTCTACCTGGAAATGTATCCTAGCAAATGATTTCCATGTGGCAAAATGTATAATAACTTTGGGGACAATTCACATGCTCCACACACAGCTGTAGCACGTTCAGTCGCGATTGCATCCTCGGAGCCTGGTGGAGGTTGTGTACCTTGTTGTATGAGCACCACAGCTATTTTTGTAGTTCTTTCATCTAAAGCATTTCTAGAAAAACAACGCTCAATAGTAACAATACATAAAATATTTGATCATGATTAAAGGTAGAAAGTATCTGAATCATGGTTGCTACCTCATTGATTGTACTCTGGAAGCACATTCCATTTTTTTCTCATTCCACTGTGGGTCATTCCAATCTAAATCATAAAAGACAACAATAACAGATGGAATTTCATTTAGATACTTGTTCATCCAATTCCGTTTTAATATCCCTTTTGGCCTATACCATTCGTAAGAGTTTCTCTAAAATATATAACATTTAAATAACTTGATTGTTTTATATGTACATAGGATAACTGGTACTTTAAAATTTGGCATGATATTACCTTGGGTTTCACTGTGGGAAATTCATGTGTAGAGCTAAGTAATTTAAATTGTATGGCAGAACTATTCAATCTGCGATTATTACTGAATACATCCCAAATTGAACGGTGTATAGGATTTGCAATGTCTAAGCCAGTTAGGCCAATAAGAGCCAATGGCTTTGTGACTAATTCTGGTGGCAATTCACACATCCTTAACAATTAACTATAAAGAAAAAAGGGAAATACAATAATTTTCTGAATAGTTTTCTCAATACAAAGTATGTAATGTATTTTTTTTATACGAACTGTTTTTAATGAATATATATACACATGTTCAAACGTACCCAATAGTTTGATCAATAAGCTACATCGAATATGAAGCCGTCCCAATAAAACTTTGTATAAATAAAAACTTATTGTTCTTCAGATGCATGCACAGTTTGACAGCTTAGGTTACTCAGCTCGGTGGTGCAGGTGCAGGTGACGTTAATTCTATCCTTGTCACGCTTATATACAGGTTAGATTAGGTTAGATTAGGATCGTTTTTCGTCTACGACTTCCACTTGTACCAGAAAGTTGGCAGCAATTGAGCGTTATTATTTCAAATATCTGTCTAACGAACGACGAAGTTCTTAGCCTGTGTCGAATTGTTACGTATAAAGTTATTATTTATAATGGCTGAATTTAAGACACCAACATCGAAAAAGTATAAAAGTCGAGTACAAGATAATCCAGAGCTGCGAACGCCTATTAAAATACCAAGTTCACCGTTTCTACAGCAAATAGGTTATGGATGTGGTAAAGAATCGTTGAATAGTTATCTCTTATTATGCTTTTCTTAACTTGAATGTTGTTCTAATGCAGAAATACATTATTAGGTGTTAATGTATTTAGTTTAGAACGGTCGCCGAAAGTCGGTTTTATCCGATCACCATGGGCAATAAAAAAACGAAACCGCAAGGTTGAGGATAGAAAATATAACGATCGCATTCGTTTTGAAGCAGAGGTACTTAGTAAATTGAAACATCCAAATATTGTAGGCTTCCGAGCTTTCACCGAAGTTTCCAGTGAGCCATGTTTGATGATGGAAAAGTTGGATTGTTCTTTAGGTACAAAAAAGATATATAAAATACAAAATAGCTATATAGAACTTTTATATATTTATTATAGAAGTTTTATGAGTATTTACATCTTCTCATCATTTGATCAGGTGATATAATAGAAGAAAAAGTCGAAATTGATGATGGTCCATTTCCTGCCAAGGATATTATGAGAATAACATATGAAATTGTAAAAGGTCTAGAATATTTGCATCACACTGTACATATTTTACATGGTGATGTGAAAAGTTATAATGTACTGACTTCAAAAGATTACAAAACAGTGAAATTATGTGATTTTGGAGTATCTCTTCCTCTCACTGAATCTCTAGAATTGGACAACACAAAAGGAAATCTTACATATGTGGGGACAGAATGTTGGAGTGCTCCAGAAATAATATTTGGTTCGTTAATTTCTTGTATCTTTATGAGCAACAGATAAGCCAAATGTTCCAATTTCTGTTCACGTCACAATTTCTACTCACTGCATAATTTTCTTATTATTAATATACAACATTATGGAATACGACGAATATCTTACGAATTATTCGAAGTCGTCATGTTATGAGAACTACCCTGTACAGTATACATTAGATAATATGAATAATCTTTTGTTCGACTTTTCAGAGGATGGGCCTGTTACAAATAAAGCAGACATATGGGCATGTGGTCTTGTAGTTTGGGAAATGATAGCTCTATCACCACCTCATGTACCTGATTCGGAAGAGGACGAATCTTACTCAGAGGATTCACTATCAGAGACGCAAAGCACAAAAACAAGTAATGTCAGCATGGATAGCATGAACGACAGTAGCTATTTGAATGAGTTGGAAAGTATGATAAACAAAAAGTGTGGTAAGTACTTCTAATATTAGATTCTTAAAGTACTAGCAATATTAAATCAGTGCAAAAGTTCGTGCCTGATTTTTAGAAACGACTCGCATGTGAAGTAATATTTTATTCCAAATCAGGCAAGATTTTTTGCACTGATCCAATAGTATGAAAGAAAAAAAGAACCATTAAAACAGAATAAGTTCAGTAGATGATAATGTATAGTGATTTGTTAACCACAGGTACTCGCCCTCCGTTACCTGCTGTTGACTTAGGAAAAGAGTATCAAAAGGTACTTGAAGTATTTCTTGCATGCACTACTTCCGATTATAAAGTTAGGCCTAGTGCCAAGGGACTCGTCAATTTCTTTAACAATTGTGTATATAAAAACAAGTGACAATAAGTGTAACAATTATTTTTTTACTTATTTATAAATAATACATATTTTTGTATTACATAACATATTTTCACTTTATTCATACACTTTTTATTTTACGTACAAAGAATGGCCAGCAGAAGTAAGAAAATAATGATTATAGTAATAATAATAACAAACTTAATTTTCGTCTGAAAGAAGATTGTATAATGTCATTTTTTTTATTTCTACGCGTAAAACTCATGTTCTGAACATAAATACCTTTTTATATTTTCGCCTTTTTTTCTCCGCTTTCTGAAGATCGGTACGACCACTATCGACAGTATCTGCGGTTCTTCCAGCAAAATATTCTACACTATTTATTTGTTCTCCCTATTAAGACAAAATAATTATCTTACTACTTACTATTATAGCAATACTGTTATTTCATTTAATTCCACTTACTTGTTTTTCAACAAGGAATGCCATCTCAGTAAACATATCTCTAATTTCTACAATCGATTTTTCTAATTTAATAATATCATTATGTCTACTTTGTATGTCAGATAATTGCTGTCTTGCAATTCGACTATCCTCTAAAATCTACGAAGTAATTCATATTTATTTAAATCTCATGAAAATTAACAGTGCGAACTGCATTTTCTCTTACATTATCAACGAATAGACTGATTTCTGGATTATCAAGTAATGTTTCCAATTCGTCACTCGTAATGTGCTTCCTGACTAAAAAATAAATAAGAATATAATATGATTGTATTTGGATGGAAACGGTAGATTCTACAGAGGAAACATACTTAATAGTTTCTGGTGATGCAGAAGTATACGACATTTCTCGTGATACCTTAACATAGACAAGTTATAGTCTTCCATAATCTCCGAAAATAATTTGATCATCGTCGAATATTGCAACGCTTTAATTCGCATATGAATAGGTCCTTCGGTCGCAACAGTTAAATCATCCATAGAGGAAAGGTCCTTTGCCATTTCTATGAATAAAAATTAATCATTCCGTGTGAAACATCTATTTATTCATAAAAGTACCGATTTCTACTCAATAGTGCATTTTTTTATAATTTCAAATGTTATTTTAAATTTATAGAAAAGTAAGCCAGTGAGCGATTGGGTCATTCAACTTATTTCATAATTTATTATTATCAGTTATCACATGACCAGGAGAGACTGAGCGCGTCTTCGCAAAATTTTGCGCGCGTAAAAGTTCGATCTTCCTGATAAAGTATTTTCTGATAGTAGCTTGGTTATTTTTTATTAATTGTATGAAATAGTACAGTGCAGAATACTTTTATACATTTCAGTGATAAAACTGTGTCATATAAATGTGATGAACATCATCTACACATTCTTGTAGTGTTTATTTAGCTATTGCGCGATGAACCTCATTCGTCGGCCAGTTTCCCGCTTTCGGATGGACGCCAGAACTTCTAACATCCCTTACAGTTCGTACGAGATGTTTCGTGATAAATCGTCATCCAGTGAGCATCATAATGAATTAATAAACTTTGCATCAATACGTATTAAAAAATGATAACCTGAGGCCGTAACTATTATTTTATCAGAATAAAGATAAGTTAAGGTTATGTTTACATTGGCCAGATAATATTTGAACGAATGTGATAATAATTGTAGTTTCGTTTAAAAATAATTTAAACTAAATGCAGTTGTTACGATGGAGTGTTTAAGAGTATTCGACAATTTTAAACTTCGCGATTTAAATGAAGACTGGATACAATCAGCATGGGATGGAGATTTCATGATTTTTGATCAACCACCTGATGAGCATTTCATACTTTTTGAGAATGGAAATGGAAAGAATATCCGATTACTTCTGGATGAGTCGTGTACAGCTATAAGAGCATGGTTGGAAAGAGGTGGAAATGAAAATAATTCAGATGATTGTCATTCAGAGATATCTTGGGCCACGTTGTTTGCCATGGACGTCAAGGTACGAGCTTTACTAGCTGTACTGGGTTACATAATAAATAATGGTCAAAACAGTGAAGTAGATGAAGAATCAAGGGAGTCTTGTTTCTTGGCAATCAACTTGTATTTCTTGCTCTTGGCCATCCCCGGTAGCAGTGTATTTAATGTATTTCATACAACTTTATATCAAAGAGCAATAGAAACTCTTAGAATATACTCTGAACAGTTGCAACCTTCTGTCAAAAACTACAAAAAAACAATGAATTCAGATGACACATTCAAGCGCGATGAGACTATGAATGAAACTGTGATTCTCTCATCCCATCAAAGGAATGTTTTAAAAAGATATCTGAATATTATCATTTGTAACTTCATTATAATGGCAAAATCGTTTTGTTTTAAAGATCATGTGCAGTTATTGGATACTACTGTACATGGAATACTCGAAGTTACAAGAATCGAAGATGAATGTGTGATACCTCAATCTTTTAATGAAGAAGCTAGCACTGTAAAAGTATCATTGTTACATCATGCTTATGAAGCTTTGAGAGAGTTGTGTGATAGTAAGCATGGACCTGTTAAAACAACTATAATGTTAATAGCAAAATATATGCTACCTCGTTTGCTCTGTTCTCCTATGGATGCACATGTGAAAAATATCGCTAGTATACGTGACCACACGATAATCTTTTTGAAAACTTTATTAGATTTATATGAAAAAGAATCGGAAACGGCAATTTTAATATTGATACAGCGCATGATGTTAAAGTGTCCAGACCGACTCGAACTTAGACAAAAACAAGCCGGTTTGCTGTTAAAAATATTTACGATATGCACGGAAAGTACTTTACTAAAATCCTTGAAGGATTTGATATTGTTATCCCATCACACAAAGATACCTTTTAGAATATTTGCTCAAGAAATAATCGGGAAACTATTACTTGAAACTTCATGGACAAATAGTAATATAAATGATAATTTAAAGGATAGAATAAAGAGAGTACTTTTTGCAATTGCATTGAGCAGATGTATGGACTGCTCGAGTCTTGTAAGGGGAAAGGCTATGGCAGTAATTGCTGAGTACTCGGAGTCTGATCACTTGGACAAAGGAATATTTCAAATCATGATTAAAGAACCTGATGAAAATAAGAAGTTCGTCACATTTTCTGATATGAAAGATGCTCTATTTAATAATGCAGATTTATTACCAAGATCGAACTCTTTAATAACTATGTTGTTAGAAAGATTAGAGGATGAAAGAGCCTTGGTACGGAGAAGTACGTTGCAGCTCTTCAAAAATTTAATTATAATGTTTCCGTCTCTGATACATGATGTTGTGCCTGCGATTAGTACTAGGTGTAGAGATCCAGCAGTAACAGTGCGTAGATTCGCTGTGCAAGTTCTGTCTCAGCTGTTGCAAAAGTTTCCGAACAATACAGAACTCCTACGCGAATGGGTAGGAGCAGTAGTACCGCAGATTTTCGATATTGAACCTAAAGTACAAGAAAAGGTGCTAGACCATTTACAAGAGCTATTGTTTCTTAGAATAAAAGATGTTTCGAAATGTAAAGATAGCGCAGTGGATGATCTGCCATGGAGAATTTTAAATTCACTAGCTAATGAAAAAATGCGGAAACATTTATCGAAAGCCTGTAACTTGTGGGCTAAGAATGGTATTAAACAGTGTTTAATACAAAATATACAGTCTCACATTGGCACAAATAATGATATCGAAGCTTGGATACTTCTAGCAGCGTTGGCTGAGAACACGACTTTACCAAATATGAATGAATTTTTCTCAAAGTATGAGGATATTGTCATAAAAAATGATTTTCGCACAAATTTAATTCTGCACGTTTTAAGCTGTTCTTGGAAATCTGTAGATTATGCATTTTTTAAACCTCTTGGCACTTATCTTTACAAGTGCTTAGAAGAGTTTAAAATCAATTACGGATTGATCAGTGTTTCTCTAGATATTATACACAATACAATTGCGTATTTGTTCCCTGAGAACCATAAGAATGTGCTAAAATCGCAGATGATAAATCTAATACAGATTTCCGAGGCAGAAATCGCAAAAGTTTTTAACAGTAAGAGCGAAGCTGCACAGGCAGCATCAAATTATGTAAAAGCTATGTTTACGTTAGGGCACGCAACGATTTTATGCACTTCTAAAATCAAATCTTCAACGTTGCGAATTCTGCAAGGAGTGCTGTTGAAATGGGAAGCACTGCCAACGCCGTTGAAGGAGATAAATGAATTGCAAGCTGCGACAGTCGTCGTCCTAGGTCAACAAGCTATAAGGGACCGTGAAATAGCGAAACAAGTAGCTCCGATATTTGGGAAATTGATGAGGAAAACAGACCCAAATTCGATGGTAGAAATAGCCTTGAAAATAAATGTTGCGAAAGCATTAGCCGATATCTGCGCAAACTTTACTACTTTGGTTGAACCATATTTGCCCGACATGTGCGTGAGCATGAAGGATTCGAGTCCGAAAGTGCGAGAGGCTATCATGGTGATATTCATCCAATTACTCTTAGAAGATTACATCAAAATTAAAGGACCTTTCTTCTTTCATATATTAACAATGTTATCGGACTCCGACGATATGATACGTGAATTAACGGTTTTTCTTATTGAAGAACGGCTTCTACGGAAGAACAAAACTTTAATCTCGCAACAGTTTTTACTAAGCATATATCATTACAATAATTGTTATTCTCAGAGGAAAATGTGTCGTCATAAGTTGCGTGAGGAGGAAAGGAAAGTTTTAACGCTTCCTGGAAAAGAGAACGAGGATAAACGAAGGACAATTTATGATTTCATGCTGGATCACTTGAATCCTCCGGAGAAGATAAAAATACTTGAAAAAGTAACTAGTCAAATACTCGGTGGAACTTGCGCGGACACGATCAACGTTAATTTGAAAGAAGGGTCTTGCGTTTTGGAGGACGCGTTATATATAATTAGTAACGATCGTTTACGTCCATCATCTTTTACCAGACACAGTAACGATGATCAACAAGAGGGTGAAGGAATGCAAGAAGCTCAAACGACTACTCCAGCCTCTGGTGCAATAAACGTTATTGTTGAAGGAATAAAAAAGTACGGTTTAGAGATTCTATTACCTACGCTAATAAAGCTTAGGATAAAATTGTCAAATCTAAAATTACCGGTTGAAAACGATGTAAGAAGAAATCTAGTTAAAACGTATTCTGAGTATAATAAGGAACAATTGACGAATCTATTAAATGAATATCCGCAACTGGAAAAAGAAGTGGACCAATTTAAAAAGTAAGAATTTAACTTATTTGTTAATTCTAAACCTCTTTATTTTTTCCATAACTGATAAAATCTTCAAGTCATTTGTACAATTTAAATGTCTGCGCAAAATTATAGTAACGTTCAAGTGTGCTTGTACGAAAAGATCGATTATGCATGGTTAACAAGCTTGCTGTTACGTCTGTGGCCAGCTTTGTACTATGTGCTGCTTTGACTATAAACTGGTAATAATTTTATTTCAGGCAATTGAGAGATATTCGATTTAATGGAAATACTTCTATTGAAGAAGAAATCTTTTCACCGGAAACGGATAATCAACGTGTTTCCGACAAAAGCTCAGATTTAACTTCCCCTATGATAAGTCCAACGGTCGGATTGGAGTGTGTTTCGATTTCTGAATTATCTGACTTTAGACCTACGCCTGTGAATTGCAGTTCACCGCATAGTATTCTAAATGGTTGGGATCCACTCATGTGTTCAACTCTTGGTCCTAGTACGAGTGGTACATCTAAGTTTTCAAATTTAGATATCGATGACATAATTCCGTCAAAAATTCGAAAACTTTCCAATTCGTATAAGAACGATAATGGATCTGCTAATCACGGCATAGATTAAGAGGAGGAAATAGTTTCGAGGTTCAATACGACGGTGAATCTAATTAGGATAGGTTCATTTTCTTACTTTTTTTCATTTATGATGCATTTTGTAGAAAAGCATAAAAAAATATATTATTAGACTGCAGATTTTTTTATATTTATAGAAAAAGTTGAAGTTTAGAGAATATAAAGATGATATATTATGGTTCATTTTTGTTTTTTTGTGTTTTGTTTTATTAGATGTACGAGGAAGTACATATTGTTTTTGACGAGTAAAAAAAATTTTAATTTACGTTTTATTAGTTTAAACTGCGATCAGAAAAATTTTATGTTAGATAAAAATCCGCAGTCTAAATATTACCTACCTCTCAATTTTCGTTGTATGCGAAACGATGTCTGCGAAATGGCATACGTTCTACTGTCCAGTTCTTTTTTTAAATCTGCAACACATAAACTGTCAACCACCGAGTGAGCGCAACATTTGGTAATATTGTTCTTACCTTTATTGGTGTACGACAAAACGTTATTATATAAATCCTTCACGATCGTGATATTCTCAGCGACGAGTTGTATCAGACTTCGAACTTCCTCGACCTGTATCAATAACTTCTCAATATCTGTGATACGTAAACAGCGATTCAGGCATTCATATAACTCTACATACGTACTTCATCTAATACTTCTCGCAGTTTTTTGTTTTGCGACATTTGAATGTGTACATCTTGCAAAAATCCTTTACCAAATGTAGTGCTATTATTTTGATACTAGAGAAAAACAAAAAAAACGTTACATCGAACATCACATACATGTATTTAATATCTAAACGAACTAATGAGAAATGCAAATTTTTCTTAGAAATCATGCTATTGTTACAAAACATTTTTCATGAAAATTCATGTGGGAATATCGAAATACTGACGGCACGTAATTCCGGCAGTCGATCGCGGACCATGATGGGTATTGCTGGAGAATCAGCATGTAACTGATAAATGCTGTTAATTCAACACATAAAACTTCTCTGTTGTTTATCTTATCAGCACGGCAAGAGATATAATTGATAAAAAAAGAGATAGCGACGTTGGAACATTGTTACTTTTAGTTGAATGAATCTGATTTTCACTGAAGATTTATGTTATAAGACTATGTCGTTCCCTCTGGGTATTCACAGTTAAACTGCACGTCTCTTGCTTAGAAGATATTTTGCATCTGGAATGAAATAGGAAATAGGCACTTAGCAGCTGGGTTACAAGGACATGAATTATATATAGATACCTTTGACTTTAATTCTAAACCTCTTTATTTTTTCCATAACTGATAAAATCTTCAAGTCATTTGTACAATTTAAATGTCTGCGCAAAATTATAGTAACGTTCAAGTGTGCTTGTACGAAAAGATCGATTATGCATGGTTAACAAGCTTGCTGTTACGTCTGTGGCCAGCTTTGTACTATGTGCTGCTTTGACTATAAACTGGTAATAATTTTATTTCAGGCAATTGAGAGATATTCGATTTAATGGAAATACTTCTATTGAAGAAGAAATCTTTTCACCGGAAACGGATAATCAACGTGTTTCCGACAAAAGCTCAGATTTAACTTCCCCTATGATAAGTCCAACGGTCGGATTGGAGTGTGTTTCGATTTCTGAATTATCTGACTTTAGACCTACGCCTGTGAATTGCAGTTCACCGCATAGTATTCTAAATGGTTGGGATCCACTCATGTGTTCAACTCTTGGTCCTAGTACGAGTGGTACATCTAAGTTTTCAAATTTAGATATCGATGACATAATTCCGTCAAAAATTCGAAAACTTTCCAATTCGTATAAGAACGATAATGGATCTGCTAATCACGGCATAGATTAAGAGGAGGAAATAGTTTCGAGGTTCAATACGACGGTGAATCTAATTAGGATAGGTTCATTTTCTTACTTTTTTTCATTTATGATGCATTTTGTAGAAAAGCATAAAAAAATATATTATTAGACTGCAGATTTTTTTATATTTATAGAAAAAGTTGAAGTTTAGAGAATATAAAGATGATATATTATGGTTCATTTTTGTTTTTTTGTGTTTTGTTTTATTAGATGTACGAGGAAGTACATATTGTTTTTGACGAGTAAAAAAAATTTTAATTTACGTTTTATTAGTTTAAACTGCGATCAGAAAAATTTTATGTTAGATAAAAATCCGCAGTCTAAATATTACCTACCTCTCAATTTTCGTTGTATGCGAAACGATGTCTGCGAAATGGCATACGTTCTACTGTCCAGTTCTTTTTTTAAATCTGCAACACATAAACTGTCAACCACCGAGTGAGCGCAACATTTGGTAATATTGTTCTTACCTTTATTGGTGTACGACAAAACGTTATTATATAAATCCTTCACGATCGTGATATTCTCAGCGACGAGTTGTATCAGACTTCGAACTTCCTCGACCTGTATCAATAACTTCTCAATATCTGTGATACGTAAACAGCGATTCAGGCATTCATATAACTCTACATACGTACTTCATCTAATACTTCTCGCAGTTTTTTGTTTTGCGACATTTGAATGTGTACATCTTGCAAAAATCCTTTACCAAATGTAGTGCTATTATTTTGATACTAGAGAAAAACAAAAAAAACGTTACATCGAACATCACATACATGTATTTAATATCTAAACGAACTAATGAGAAATGCAAATTTTTCTTAGAAATCATGCTATTGTTACAAAACATTTTTCATGAAAATTCATGTGGGAATATCGAAATACTGACGGCACGTAATTCCGGCAGTCGATCGCGGACCATGATGGGTATTGCTGGAGAATCAGCATGTAACTGATAAATGCTGTTAATTCAACACATAAAACTTCTCTGTTGTTTATCTTATCAGCACGGCAAGAGATATAATTGATAAAAAAAGAGATAGCGACGTTGGAACATTGTTACTTTTAGTTGAATGAATCTGATTTTCACTGAAGATTTATGTTATAAGACTATGTCGTTCCCTCTGGGTATTCACAGTTAAACTGCACGTCTCTTGCTTAGAAGATATTTTGCATCTGGAATGAAATAGGAAATAGGCACTTAGCAGCTGGGTTACAAGGACATGAATTATATATAGATACCTTTGACTAGTTTGTTCATTCATTTCTTTTTTACTAAGATATTAGTTATCCCTTTTTTTACTTGAAGCACCTGCACTATTTTCTACACTTTATGGTAATATCATATTATTTTGCAAATTTATGCAAATCTATGTTAAGCTCTATTTTTATACAACAAACCAGTTGAGATAAAGAATAAAAAAGGTAATTGAAATATGGATAAAAACTATTTGAATTATATTTAATCTACTCTGTGATATTAATCAAAGAAATGAATATTCTGTATTTACATATAAGCAGTAGATTGTAACAGATCAAAAAGTGGAAGAACGTTCCCACTATAAATAAGCATGACACTTGCGGTAACAGTGTAAATGTATTTATTGTGTAAAGTAACGATTAATTATAAATATATTTCGTTAATATTTTACGCATTCAACTAAAACATTTTAGTATCACCACGAGGAATAATCTAAAAAACATAAAATATATTTTCTCTTTCTTATAAATAATACCTTTACTTATATCCTGTGCGTATTACAGTAACGCTAACACAGTGTTACCATAGGAAGAAACAGTACTAAACGATTACTACGTTTCATTCTCTTTCAGAAGGCAAAACAATCAGTCTTATAGAACCCTCAATTAGAACAAAACGATTGCGCTAGTCGAAGGTACATATGTATCTGTGTATATATATGTATATATATATTACGTTTATACAACGAGTTCAGTGTTAACAAGACATACGGACTGTCTCAAGCTTAGACGGTCAAACTGGATTTGATTTCAACTTAAAAATAGTTTTCCATTATATGTCACGTATACAATATTTATTTCTATTCTTTAACAAAACGTTAACTGACTTTATATAACATTTTTATCTTCTTTTTAGTTATAAATTAAGTCATCGCAGTTTGACTGTCTAAGCTAGTGACGATGCATATACAATGACTCCCATTAATATTCCGTTACACTTCAAAATAAAATAATTTTTTTAATATTGGACTAAATAACTTAATTGCCTGCGGGATGTTAGAAGGCTTAATGTACTATATGTATAATGTGTAACAAAAAGTATTAAAAGTTATTCCATTTTGAAATCTGCCCGAATATTAATGGAATCCACTGTAGTTTTACCGTAAAAATAGATGTATGTACATGCATTATGTACATATCCAAGAGCGTTTCTTTAAATTTTGGACATTGTAAAGTTCTTTACAACAAGAGAATGCACTAAAATATAACTTCGCTTATCTTTAAATACGTACTATAGGACGTGCATCATATATTTCTCTAAATATATATATACACCAAAAAATAACGAATAGTTTTTTGTTTTAAGAAAATGACGGAGTTTGAAACCACAGTCTTGCAATCGCAACGAAGATTAGCATCCACTTTACCTTTTCTAGTCTCATCTAACGCTACGCGAAACATGATAAGATTGCACTCTTTCGATTATCCCGTTTGTCAACTTGTAATCTAATACAGTACATTCAATTTGTAACATATGTATATAGACATTACATTTTTTTTAATAAAGAAATACTGATTTCTTTCACTGGTCTGCATCAGTTTTCTTCGATCCCTTCACCTTTATTTCTATTTTACCGAGCTAACGGTAAACGAGGATTTTGCTAAGATGCACCCGTTCGGGCCCTAACTTTATCCCTCAAATAATTGGCAACCTGCGTTTGTGAATGCCTAATAGCTAATTGAAGTGGCGTAACGCCTTCTTGGTTCACGAGCAACGGATCTGCTCCAGCGCCTACCAGTTGCCTCGCAACAGTCATCTGTCCAGTTAAAGCTGCAGCGTGTAGCGCACTTTCACCATTCTGAAACAATAATTATCTCTCCTGATTATATTTCTTATAACGTTATTTAATACTAACATGCCCCCTCTCGGGGAGATACGCCTAGAAAAAATTGAGCTATATTTTCATTCTTCGTAATAATATTTTTTGTTTCGGAAATATATGTATATAGTCTATGACGCTCCGAAGTGTATAAAGGAGTTACAGTTCAAATTTTGCTGCTTCAGCCGTTTTTGAGTTTGAAAAGCTTTCTCTTTATCTAATTGTAAGATAAATTATTTGCCGATTTCAAGTTGTGACCGCGAGAGACGCTCATACCTACCGGAAGTATACCCAGAGATGGTCGGTACTTGAGTAGTTCACCAACGACGGCAGTGTGACCCTTGTGAGCCGCTTTGAACAACGGGGTCGCGCCATCCTATAAAAGAAAACGCTTTAAGTGCACGGTCTATTCTTGAAAAAAGCTTCTCAGCTTTTCTGTCCCTTTGTCCAATCCCGACTCACATGTCTGGTAGCGTCAACCTTCGCGCTAGCTCTCAGAAGCCTTCTCACAACATGATCATGTCCCATTTGCGCTCCTATCCATAAAGGCGTGGCACCATCAGTCCTCGCCGCGTCCGTTTTTGCCCCATGCTCCAGCAGAACCTCCAGGATTCGCACGTGACCGTTTTGCGCAGCAATGAATAACGCCGTTGCCCCATCCTATATCATTGAAGAAAATATTAGAATTAGATTAGTTATTCGAATTATACAAGTAAAGAGTAATACTGAATCAACACCTAAAACTAAAAGTAAACTAATCCACCTCACAACTTTAAAAAGCTCTAATCGTTTGGTCTGATTTTAAAACAGTTATTCAGTCTTAAGAAGCGTTGGTTCAGTTTTGCTCTTTACTGTACATCAGCGATGAAACTTGAACGAAATGAAGTTCACCTTCATGTAAGCATTCGGATTAGCGCCCCTTTCGATTAAACCTTCTACGACGTCCAAGTGACCGCATTGGCATGCAACGAAAAGCGGAGTGCCACCATCCTGCAATCACAACCAGACATTATTTATTATCGTTTCTATTCAACTGGTTCTGTCTTTACTCACTATGCTACAAGAATCGACGATGGCACCGTGCTCCAATAGAATGCTGGCGATGTCCATGTAGCCACCTTGAGCAGCGAAGAACAACGCCGTGGTGCCGGTCTAAAAATAAAAAGCAATAAATTACTGTAGATTCGTGAACCGTCGTACAAAGTGTCGACGTAGCTCCTTCGATTTTATGGCGCAAAAAAAAGAACGAACGACTTGCTCCGTGAAACGTAGGACGGTTTTATTGCTCCTGTAAACACGATAGAATACAGAAGTGAGAATTGGACTTTGCATTGTTAAAAGAAATATGGAATACCTATAATTTCAATAAGTCTTATTTGAAGAAGTTTCTGTTCCTTCCATGAAAATTGTGTAAGAAAATGAAGAATCCAGATTCAACTTAAAATGAGGAGTGAACGGAGAACTTTGTATAACTATGTTCTACTTTAACCCATTCCTCCTGACATAAAAAAAAAAGAAGAGCATATGCTTTTCGGGATCAGGTTCATTGAAAGTTGCAGCAAGGTAGGTTCCGAATAATTAAGTAAAAAGAGAATGATTTCGAATCGAATAGCTGTCCATCGGCAAAGGAGAGAAAGTGCTGGTGTGTCGCCACGAAAGGAACAGAGCCAGTGTCCAGGTGGATGCAAGCGTGTTCGAGTTCAGCTACATATGTATGCACTTTCACTGACGTCGGGTCTCTGTTCCTTTGCCCCGGAGCATCGATCATCGTTTCCAACAGAAGCTTGTCGAATGTTAAATTTCCAGAAATGATAAGAACATTCTGCGGCATATACGCAGTTCGTATGTTCTAAAGTTCTGCTCTTCGAACCGTATCAATCCGGGAGATATAATACATATCCATTACAAACCACAGAAATTCTATAATGTCGATCAACCTGTTCATGCACTCACGGCAACTGTCCTCATCCGCAGTAATGCTTAACTTATAATAAGAATATATAAAAAAAATACATGCATTTGCGATTAATTTTAGCTTGCTATAAAAAAAAATACACGTATTCTATTAGAACATTACGCGGTCAGAAGAAACAATAAAAGTAGTATAAAACCATCAAAATTATTTTATATAACTTTTAAACGAAAAATGGCATAAATATTTGAGAAAAATTAACATGCGTAAAATTAATTCCTGTGATATTTCTTTCTTGATGCCTTTCCCTTTTCCTCAAACTCTATTAAGAGAAATTTGTTGATTAAAAAGTCATTTATCAGATGTTTTATGAACTTGAGATAAGATTAGAAACATGCATGGACACGATTGAGTGTCCGCTGCAAGGTAGATATTGGACAATAGAAAAGGTAAAAGTTATTTGCAGCGATAGTTAAACCCCCTTTTCCTGTTTAATTAATTTGTTGATTCGCGAGCGAACGCGGTAATTAGAGGCAAATGGTGCGTGGTACCCGTGGCGCGTGTTAAGCTCGAACTCTAGATTGCACGTGATCTTACCAATTAAATAGTTCGTTACGATAAAGCAAAATAAAGATAGAATACTGATATTTCTACTATGCTAAATAAGCATGCAACGTGGCATTATCGGAATCAACTTTTATTGAAATATATATTCAAATACAATTCTGATTTTATTCGGCATCTTCTTACTTAGCATTGTTATTTCAAATAACGAATATTACTGGTGATAAGTATTTAGAAATATTCTATTTCTCGAATTAATCTCGTTCACTTTTGTTTTGAAATGAACTTACCTGTTGCATTTTTTTTTATTTTCATTTCGAATAAAAGAGGGCCAACTCAGATTTGCAACGAGTTGCTTTTGAAACGATTCTGATAAGAGGCATACTTCTAGAAATTGCTTTTAGATTATATCCGAGATCTCTACACTTGTGTTAGTTTTTTATTAATCTGTACACGCACTTTCTGTTGATAAAAGCAACACTCTTGCAATGTCCCGATACACTCTGTAATTACGGTGCATTTGAAATGAGAGGGATACTCGGACACACGGTACATTGTCGATTTATAATGAACTTGTTACTTCCTGCCCGCAATCTGCTTTCCAACACACGCTATTTTAACTTGCCCGCCGATATTTACGTGCGGTACAACACGCGAAACTGTGATATGGGCGTGTACCCGTTTATTTGGAATTCTTATGGAATGCCGATGAGAGTTTGGACAATGTCTGCAAGGCCAACTTATAATCTCCAATGACGTGAAACATATTTTCGTTAGCTGCGTTCCTTTCTCACGATTCTTGGTAAAAGTAGCTCTCAGAATTTTTACCAGCGATAAAAATAACTTGGCTTTGTACTAATAAGATAAGATTCCAATCAGTAAAGAATCCTATTGGGAAATGTTCTGAAGAAAATAGCTTAGAGAATTTTACAACCAGAAACTGGATATATACAACACCCCCATCCAAAGGCACCGTATAGAAAATCCGCGAAACTCAATATGAAACCGCGAGTAACAAGATATGGTCCGAGGGTACCGGTAGCCGGTGAAAAAAATGCGAACCGGACGAAAGCCCCGAACGAGGCCAAGCTCGTAAGGGATCAGTGTGTCACGAACACCCACGCATGATTTTCAAGCTGATATTTACCGGCAATTTGTGCGGAAGCCGTGTCTCGCACTCCACGTGAGTCGTTCCGAGCGCATATATTACAGGCATATACAGTCAGTCTCAGAAATATTCGGACGCTACAGTAGTTTATATATTATTAACAATGCATTTATTAAATTATATTTTTCTCTATTAAATCAATTTCATACTCATGACGATTACCCAAAAAATATCGAAGTTATAAAAAATTGTAGAGGACCTTATTTGTAGGTCATAGTAGTACCCACAATTTTTGTTTAAAACATTTTTCCTAGCATCGAGTCTTATCTATGTTTTTTCTTCTATTAGAATCGTTGGGGCGTTCGTACAGCCGACACTGTTTACTTTTTTCCCGTGCTTCCCATGCTGAATTGAACCCTCAGGATTTATAACTAAACCCGGTCCCTATCGGTGGCCATATATTGGGAGATTACTGTCTATCTAATGTCCTAATATTTTTGGAACACGAGACACGGGTAGAAGTCTTGATTATAACTGAATATCTACACGACACTGAAGAATACAGGACTTATCTCCATACGTGTGTATAGCAGAACAAGTGTATTAATCTACTAAATAAAAGTGAATTTGATAAACGCATTATAATTAAATATATAAGGAGATAATTTTTGCAGATACTGCAGTGTCCGGATACTTATGAGAGTAACTGTATATACATACATATGCACATAGGTAGGGTAGACGTCTCTGCTGAATCGCATTAGATGCACGCGATGCAACCAAACGGTGCTTCGCTTCGGCAACCTTGAATACATACGCGCATAGGCGGGATGCGCTTTGTGCACGGGGCGTGATTTGCGAGGCGAAATATTCGCCCGCCGTAACCGGGTCGCAGTTTTTAGAAACTGTAGAACAACCGCGACTAATTGCCCGACATAAATCAATTCTCAACTTTCGACGCTTTCAGATTTCCTATAAATTCCCGCATGCAGTTTTTCTAATTCATTTGTAGATTTGTAAGCAACGCGACCGTCTGAGTAGAAAGATTCTTGACGAATCACCAGTCGATGAAAAGATCGTAAGTGGCCCTGTTTTCTATGACGGAAAACGAAACATGTAATCACGAGTGAGAAGTGGAAGCTAACTTCTAAGACGAATTAGAAACTCGGCTATCGAATAATCGAGCGAGTTAACGACCGTCGACTCGCAGAAATAAGCAGAACAAGCAATTCGCAGTTAATTATACCTTTTCCGCGATTTACATTCGAGCGTCTCCTACTTTTCCTCGGTAATTGCAATCGATTAGAATTAATCCGGATTGAGCTCGTCCTACTTCCGTTAGTTGCAATGACTATTAGAACTACTAGTAGATAAAAATAATTCCGGAAGCTGCCGAGCTGTTGATTAGGTAACAAGTCGACAACTGTTTAGATGTTTTAACACGCGTTCGTGTAATTCGTTCCACAAGAACATCGTCGCTCGAACTGGTGTGAGTGCAGAAAGAATTCCTACTATTCAATTTCTGTACCGTTATTCTGCATCTAAAGATATTAGGCTGCTATCATTTACATTTCAAAAGGTGAAACACAATGAAATGGATCTGGTAAAAGAACTATAAATAGATTTCTTATATAGAGAATGAAGTACTTATGATTGTATGAGCTGAAAGATCTCTGCCAAAAGTCCAAGAAATATGATGAAAAACTAAGAATATCCAATATTTGAAGCGATAAACTTTTAAGTAAAATTATATTTATAAACAAGTATTAAATTGTTCGAAAAGAAGCTTGTAATGTATAATTACTAATATTCTAATGTACGATTTTTGACACTTTTTGATAGGATTGTACTTGTCTTACAACTGTTTACATTGTCTACAAGTCTTACAATCGTCGCTTTTGCTTACTTTTTATTGTGTATCTTAAATAGTATCCTTGAAATTGATATTACTTCAGCTGTAAAACATACAATATTACAATAAACTTTGAAATTTAAAATATTGAAATGCTTTTCTTAGTAGAATTGTTCTTTTTGTTTTTTTGTAGTTTCTTAGGGTCTCGGCAAAATTTTATAGACTCCTTCTCAATTTAACACTTTGCGTTTTATTATTCAATACCTGTTAAAATTTCAATGCTTTGTCATTGTTTTTATTTAAGGTCTCGTACAACCATAAACTGGTAACGTGTTAATTAATAAATCATGCTTGATGCACTTTTAATCAAGAGTCAAGCGGATGTTCCATGGCCAAAAATCGCGAGGTCCATGTTCCATCAGATTTGCATACAATGCTGGTACATTCGATGGCAACGAGAGTAGGTAGGTAGGTATACTTACGTGGGCTCAGCGATAAATCGTCGCGAGCCACTTAAAAAGGGCCACTCGACCGCTTCCTGGTGCCTCGTGTTACGAGCGACAAGCTTTTTATGTCTCAGAAACTCCCCGGTTCCTTTCTGAATAGATGACGAAACGCAGCCTACATACATACTCTCTTGTTTTTATTTTCGAGAAACTGGCAATTAGAAAAACTACAAGCTATTTTCCATATCCGAGATCCAATCAGCTCGGAGGATAATTAACGCGAGATTATTAAAATAACTAGGAAGCATTATCCAAGTGAATGTAATGACTTCAGCATAAGAAATTATATGCAAAGGCCTGCGGTATTCGTTTCAAGAAATAGTCGATGGAAATAGCATATGAAAAATTGAAATATTAAATATTATAATATTGTATTATAAATTCAATTGTTAATGAGGCAATTAAAAAATCGGCAATCCTAATTTCTACTATGAGTTGACCAGGACGCGCATGTTCAACGAGTTTCATTCAGTCTTAGGAGTTCATTCATGATCTTGGCTACGCGTGTTCAGGACTTACCAGTCTTCTAGCATTAGGATCCGCCCCTTGTTGCAGCAATTCGGTGACCGCCTCGATGTGGCCCCCGGCAGCAGCTAATATCAAAGGAGTCGTTCCATCCTGGAACAGGTGGAAGAGTCAGTGACCTCTGTTACTTCATGGTACAATAAGTTTTATGTCAAGACCCTCAAAAGAGACTACTTCGTAAGGTGTGGTCGACTTGTACCAAATATTTTAAACTAGTTCAACTCAAACAATTGTGAATTCATAGCCATAAACATATTCGATACGAGATACTTTGTATGAAAGAGCTGCGCTGCTCTGTAAATGATTTAAACAGGACGGGGAATTAATAAACATTGTAAATCCATTTTATAAATTTTTCAAGAATTCTTATCTGTGGAAATCAAAATCGTTTTCACTCATTAAGCACTTTTCACAGGAGTTTACGATAATGAAAGTCTATTTGGGTTTCTATGAGTTGTCGAACCGCGCCTCATCGCTAAATCGGTAATTTACTACAATAACGAGGACATTGTTAGTAAGGTTCCTCAATTGACGTAACGAGCAATCACGGGGACCGGTCCTTAATGATGTCATTAATTTACTCGATTGTCCGCGAATAAGCAAAGCAAGAAGATTCGAGATACAGTAACTCCCATTAATATTAGAACAAATTTCAAAACGGAATGACTTTTTAAATATTAAACCAAACGACCTCATTTTCTTTGGAATGTTAGAGTATCCGAATATTAACGGGAATTCTGGAAAGCAGTGAAACGATTTTAGCTAGGACGTTTAAAACAAGGTTAATGTCAATTACGTGCCTTGACCAAATTCCAAATTCCGCCGAAATAAATGGTCAAGCTTGACCGCGCGCCAGAAGTAGAACGACTATCGGTGCGTGATCTAATAAACCAGTTTCGAGACAAAGAATAACGTTACTCGAGCTACTCGTCATTTCGACGTCGCGACGTGTCGCATCGTTTGCATAATGATCCGATCGACCCAGCGACAGATCGTTGTCGCCTAAAGAATTACTCCCCTGTGCGCGAAGTTAGAATTAGGATTGCAAATAAATGATTGAATCTTTCATTCAATTGAACACCAATTGGTCATAAAAGTTTGATTCTTGATTCAGAATGAAGGAATAAAATTATTTAATTATCTTAATTGAAATAAATTCGAATTAACGATTAAATTTTAATCCTTAATTAAAGAATAATCCAGTTGTCGAGTCGTTAATTGTTAATACGACAATTAAAAGATCTGTAATCCTGTGTAGAATCAGGATCTAGGTACCTTGTCTTTGCAGTCAACATGGACACGTCCGGAATCCAAGAGAACTCGAAGTCGTTTTGCATCGCCACGTGCAGCTGCCAAATGCAATTCTACATCCCAAGGAGATTCTTTCTGGAATAGGAAACAGGAAAAGAAAGCTATAAAGCTGATTTCTGTTGCACTTTTCGAGAACTATAATCAAAGGTGAATGTATTGAATTCACTGAACTATGACTGAAATCGTATTTTATGGTCTGTTACAATTGCTCCGACTTTTCCAAGAGACCTGAATCGTTCGATACTCGTAGTCTACTTAATAATCGTCGAACATGTAATTCAAACTAAATGCGTGTAAATGTCAAAAAGTCCTCGTTATTCTTTCTTTTTTATATTGTCTTACTTTTCTTTTCTTTTTCGCCATGTATTTACTATTTTGTTTTCATGTAAAACGTTTATATTTTATTTTACAATAAATTTATTATTATTATTAAAACATAAAAATAAAGTGAAAAACCAGTGCACGTTCACTCAACCGAGGTTTTCACCTTATACATAAATCAGGCGCGCTTGTCAAAGTGCAATGTTCCAGTGTTTTGCTCTATGCAACGACCCTCGTTTCTAGGTCATCTCACGTTAAGCGCAACAATCAATGCGTCGCGTAAGATCGTAATCGATTGGTACAATCTGTGACCACGAGGAATCGGAATCACTTGTCCAAGCGCAAACATGTAAAAATATGAATAGACAAAAAAAAGTAATTATCATCGTTGTGCAATCAATGGCAAGGTGTTTACAACTTGTGTAACCGAGAAATGACATCAGTTCTCGTAAATTTCTTCTGATCTCATCTAGTCTTGTTTCTAAGCGCATACATGTCATATAAATAATTAGAATCGAGATTAAGAGACAATGCGCGTACTTCATCGACGAGAAAATAGTACGCGAATGACAATATGTATAAAAAACAAGAATACACGAACGGGGTATCAACGATCTGCGAACATCATCAGCATCTATGAAATTACGATAGGATAATGTTGCTTGTTTACTTTCAGTTGCATCCTAGGGCATGTCACGCGATATTTCATTCAGAACTTTGTTACAGAAAATACGCGCTGACATCGTACAATGAAACGTTTAATACAAAATTTCTTACCTTCATGGACATGATCGACAAAACAGTGCAGGAACTCGCGCGATTGACGTTTCGTTCTCACAAATGAATTAAGATAAAATAACCAAACGTTATTGTTACAACAATTGTATCGCGGTGCATTTACAGCATGCTTTCGCCAGTACGCTGCGTGTCAATTCTAACTGAGATACGTTTTTAATAAACATATACATTTTTAATTATCGCACGCACTGATTATATCACAGTCCGTTTAAAACGCGCGAGAGAGCACTAGCAAATGTCTTCGCGTTTACGGAACGCGGAGGCACACCGTAGGAGCATCGTGATTTTACCGGATGACTTCGAGTCACCGAATGCCCGACAAAACTACTGTACGACAAGTAGTATAGACCAAATGCTTCCCTCGAACTCCGCTTGGTGCAGCATGCTTGCTGCACGAGCCATTGCGCGCGTGACACACGCATACAAATTTAAATTCATCCAGAGGGCAGGATCTGCCGGCGATCTTCCGTCGCCGTCAGTCTGCAGACAGATTATGCATATTTTATTTAATGGCATTGTTATTGGATTAACTAAAAAGCGGACAAACATTATTTAGTTATCTTTATATATTTCTATGTCTCTATTGACCGCATTTAATATAATAATATAATATGTTTAATTTATAGTGAATATTTGCCTGGATGTTGGTAGACCCGATTTTGTGACATGTGCAGTTATTACTTACTAGTCTAAAAGCTCCTTTTTGTGCGGAGCCATTTTATGGTGTGTGTGTAGCAAACGAAAGTAAGGAAATACTTTGTTTAAGAAGTTTCGGCGTTTTATTTTTTTAATCTGGTATAGTAATTCTGTATATCTTCGATTTTGTTGTAGGAATAAAAATGGAGAACGATAACGGAGTACTTGTTGACCTGTACATACCGAGAAAATGGTAAGCGGTGCACGTGGACTATGTTTTCTTGCACTATAGTGACAATCTTTTGATGAACTAGCGAAAGTGTTACGATGATCAATTATAAATAGTGTATAATGATTTTGTAGCTCGTCGAGCAATCGCATTATCCACGCTAAAGATCACGCGTCAATTCAATTGAGTATTGCTGATGTTGATCCTGAAACCGGACGCATGACCGACTCGCAGAAAATGTATGCGATCTGCGGAGCCATCCGTCGTATGGTACGTCTTTTCTTACTAAATTACTTTCTTACATACATACAAAGTTCTTTTACAATTGTTTCCTTTCTTTCCAGGGTGAATCAGATGACTGCTTGGTTCGACTTGCAAAGAACGATGGTATTTTACCAAAAAATTTTTAATGCGACAATTAGTTTATTCTTTCAATAAAAACTAAAAAATTGCACATGTTATTGTTCTTACTATTACCTGTCTTAATCAAATTGATTATAGAAATACTGATACAGTGACATTCATAGATGTTTCAAAACTGAATAACTTCTTTACTGTTGGGCTTGACTTAATTTTTTTACATATTAGATTTGAAAATTAAGGTTTTGAAGATATCGGCCTAGAACTTAAATAAATTGGAAAAATTCAACATCAGTCGATTTTTATTAAATTTTGTACGTGCATGTAACATGAAAACGCATGTCTTAAATTGAATTCGTTGAATCCAATATTAGAAGTTATCCAATTCTGAAATGTGTACCGCGAATATTTACGAACTTTGTTATACATGTTGATTGCTTACAAAGAAAAAGCAACAGATCCCACATGGGATCGAATGGACTTCGTGTACCATTTATTATATGTTTTGTACATATGTAGTTTCAAATACGAAATAATGAATCATTATATATAATACATATATGATACAGGAAGATAAATGTTGAATTCGCGCCTCTCTCGCTATAGCCATTTTTCTTTTCCTAATTACGTTTCAAAAATTATGCATTGACTATAAAAATAAAAGTCATTTTAAAAAATATAGTTGTACCTGTTAAAAAGTCACATGATTTCCAAATATTCAACCGCGTTCAATGAAAACATTCACAAATCTGTTAAAATACAATATTTGATTTTAAAGTCTCGTATTATGCAAAACCTTGGATGATAAAAATAATCCATGGCTACTGTTAAATTATATATTATGAACAATCTTTTCGTATTTCTCGAGGACGCGAGTAAATACGGTTTTGATACGATATTATTTTAAAAACATGATTTATCATTTTTCAAACCTGTTAGATTACGAGGCTAAACGATATTTCTATCCGCATAGAAATATTTAATTTTTGTGCATACGTCATGATATTACAATTAAGAAAATACAGAAACTCGTACATACATATTCAATAATACAACATAGTTCTAAAAAATATGTTCGTCATATATATATTCATATATTAGTTGTCATTTACCGGGAACTCGAGCTTTATGCATGAATATTGTTAAAAAGTGATGAAACTGCCTTTAAAATACCCTGAGCATATTCTATTGATGCTTTTTTTTCGTTTCCTATCAGTACATGATTACTACAATAAACTAATCGAATGATTAATGACATTTTTAAAAGAATTAAACTTAATCATACGATAAAATTTCATCTATATGTTAAACTAGCACTCA